AAAATATTAAAAAAATTTATTTTTTATTTCAAAAGAAAAAACAGTGTTTTGTGGAGATTTTTTATAACATGTCACAAATCGGTTGTTTCTTTTTTCCAAATTAGAAGTTACAGGCGAGAAAGGAACGTGAAACTGAAGATATTTTTTGTTTTTACTATGATTTTAAGCATTTCACGGCAACAAAACCTTCAAATGCTTTTGAAAGCCAGTAAGTTTTAATTGTTTAAGGTTTGTTTGAAAAGTTACATTTTACAGTAAAATATCTGGAAATTATTCTGTAGAGCTGCATTGAATCATTACCTGCTTTTTACATGTTTTGGTTATGCAAAGGTCAATAGGGCATATTCAGTTTAAAAAAATAAAGACATCAATAATGCTTAGTATGACAAACCCTAGAAGATAATAAGTTTTGTGGATAAAAATTATTTGGGAAAAAGGAATCTCTGTTTTGAAGTTTGAGAGGTCAACAGAAAAAGAGACTTTCAAGCACTTAGAGGTGCGTCTGCAGTGAACGTCAGAAAATTGGTTGTAGATACAAAATAACTTTCACTCAACTTTCTTTCTTCGCTATTATGCTCTAGTTCTCTAAACTGGTTAGACACTGAAAATTAGAACCTGCATTCTGTACTTAATTAGCCAAAGCAATGGGTTTTTTGATTTCCTCATGACGCCAAAATTTATACTAGCTGTACAGTTGCGGCAGAAAGAAGATGAGAAACGGAAGAAGCTAGAAATAAAGGTTGATCGGAGCATTTCGGCAGAATAGTAATACCCAGATATTTTTTGTGAAATGTGAATTCAGTAAATCTTTAAGTCTTAAAACCTATCTGATTTTCATAGCTGCTCACGGTGGCTTCGTCTCTGTAAAATGGATGGGATTTTTATAAAAGCAGTAGATTACTTTCAGCTTTACGCTGCTTTCCAGCCTGTAACTCTCCATTCATGGAAGATGACATTATCAGTCTGTGATATTTTATACAGAAAAAAGTTCTACACAATGTTTATTTTTTAATTAAGCATTTTTTTTGTATCTTCAGAACTTTTGCTTTTATTGTATTTGCCTAGCTGCTAAAAGAAACTTTAAGTTGTGGTATGCATTCGAATGTAAAATATATGAAAAATCTGAAAAACTAGAAAATGTTAAATTCTAATAGCCTTAAGATGAACATGCGCGGGAGGATAGGCAAATTGGGTAGCAATTTGGCTTGTATTGTAGCTTTGACGCTACATAATTTTGGTGGAAAATCCTCCCTTCGGTGATATTTTTTTCGTTTTTTAAATCTGAATTTAGGCTTTATCAACCAACGAAATGCAAAAAATTCTGAGGTATCAGATGAAAGAAGAAGTATGCAAACTGGTATGGGATGGCGCTGTTTATTATGACTTTTTTATCGTATGGTTTTAATGATAACCTTTTTCCTTGAAACAACTGTCATTTCAGGTCTTCTCTGAATGGAAGAAAAGTGAAGTGGTTAAGAAATCTAGCGAAAATCCGGCTGCGACGGAGTGTGGAGACAGTAGTGTGTCTTGTGTAGTTCCTGTAGCTGTAGCGCCTAAAAAGGAAGGAAGCACTAATGCCGAATTACCAATAGCTTTTATTGATGGAACTCATAAACTTGACCTGAATGCTTCTATATCACCGCTCGTCAAATACACTTAACATAATTCACACGTGCAGATTTTATGTGAGTTTCACATATTGACAGCCGATGTAATTTAATTTTTTTCTATACTTAGTGTACAATAGCGTATTTTAAAGTCTTTCATTAACTTCCTGTATCTTTTCGACGGCTTGTTTTGTATTAATATAGTTCCTTGTAAATTTCTGCAAGTAACAGCGATATCTTTTGTTTATAGCTGTAATTTTGAATTTGGGGGAAACTTGTTGCGTGGCGGCTTTGAACTACAGGTTGACTTGAGACTTTCGGAAAGTTAGAAGATAGTTTTTGGTCAGCCCTTCTGAGTAGTCTTTTAATTTAAGAAAGAGAACTATATTTAGCTAATATTCCTCCTAACGGGTATATGGCTGATTCCTCACTCTCTGTCCCCTTAAGTAACTTCCTTAAATTTTCAGAGTTACTGTGCCATCAGTAGGACTGTCTGTGTTTAATTGTTAAACTTTTTCACATTTTCGTTACCGTGTGATTAATTTTACATAACTTTCCTGTGAAAAATATATAGTTTTTTATGGTGTATAAAGTATCTTGGACGTGAAATATAACGTCCTTCTTGCATTTTAAACTTTTTGAAAAGCTGTTTTTAACGGTAAAGGAGTTCCATCACTCGTATCTATGCTCCATGTGTGTTTTTACACTGACAAAGTTAGTTTTATTGGCGTTTGAAGATACTGCCCATTTGCGCAGAAGGAATGTTTTGAAGAGGAGTTGTGCTTTATCTACTGCTTGGTATTGGCCAGGAAAACCATTATTTTCCACAATGTGGTGCAGGTGTGCAAGTTCTGAGAAGACATAGGGTCCGTAACGGTAGAGCGGAGCAAGAGAGGGCGTTTGGGGATTGAGAATATTTTGCTTAAACTTTTTATTTGTTACACTTGCTTTGAATTTATTGCCTTTGGTAAGATCTGAAAGGATAGTAAAGTAATGGAACTGCTCGAGACTAAGTGGATTAAGGAAGTGTCCTCTTTTTGCTTATTAAGCACCTACAGGGCTTCCGTTTTCCTTCAGATATTTGCCCGTGGTATTATAGCGTTTACTCTGGTAATGACAAAAAATTGCATTTTTTATTTCATTGTTCGTTTTGTTGTATACTGATACAGAAGGTACGGGTTTGATATTTCATGTTTTGAGCAGTTTTTCTGAAACTTTGGGGTATATATCTGGGCCATTCCACGCCAGATTGCACAAGTTTGCACCTGGAGCTCTCAGGTTTTTTCATTTTATGCCAACTTGTAGCAGTTGATACTGGATTTTGAAATCGAAATAGTTTACCCCAAAAAGTGCGCTGGCGGCAAAGTCAGACCGTTCTAAAGTGTGAAAAAAATGCGATTCTCCTGCGACATGGTTACATTTAAGAACTTGTATTTTTTTTCGTCCACATCAAAGTTTCCTGATCTTTACTTCTTTTGAAATTTGTCTCCTTCAAATTCAGAAGAATGGTAAAACTAGTATATTAGCAAATTTTATTCTAAAGTAAATAAAAACAAAAATTTAAAACGGTTTTTCTCAAAAACGGACATTTTGAATTTTTAAAAAAAGACACATTTTCTAAAGACATTTTCTACAGGGAATACGAAAATTATAAGGTGGTACCTTTTCAGCATCAAGAGTTATGGTACGATAGGTGATAGTAGACTGAAAAAAACCCTCAACTGAAGCAGCATTTTGACGCTTTTGCAAACCTCAGACCCTCTGTTTTCACTAAAATCTTTTCTTTTAATATATATAATTCTTGTAAAACTTTTTATATCTAGTATTTCAGTCAAGAAAAATTAATCAAAATTTATTTACTTCTAAACAAAGATTTTTTTAAAAAAAATTTACTATTATGATTACTTTCGGTTTATGTCGCTCTGCTTACTTACTGAACTTTTCTAATCTATATATATCACGCTGAGTACTTTTTTTTTGACTGCAAGTATTGTTTTGCTAGTTTTCCTCTCAACGTTATCTCGTATAATGCAATGAAATTTTTTGTACGTTTGACTGGTGAATGCTCTCAAAAATGCGACGCTGGAAGTGCCTAGTGTTTTTCATGTTCTTGTGAAAGTAATGAAATCACTAGTATTTCTTCTCGTTTGTTCGGAGCATATTTGTAAACGTCATTCTGAGTTAAGGTTTGGATCACAAGTGTCTCTTTTATGCCAGACTTCGTTGCTGGCCTTCTCAATATGCCCTCAAGTCTCAAATTAATGCAATACTGCAACAACAGAAGAAAAACAATACTCGCAATGATTTCATTACCACATATAATCAGTTTCATTTCCAATTTGGTGCAAAAATTTTTTCGTGGCAGGATGAGAGGTACAGTAGT